GCTCCTTCTTATATAGCAAAAACGAGTGTCCGGGCATCCTCTTCTCCTCAGTCTTCAGTCGCTTCTCAATCGCTTGGTACAGCCCGCCAGCCGTTTTGCGAGCCCACTCGGTCATATCCTGAATGGATTCCATTTCTAGAAGACCTCCTCCGTGCTGTTTGTGGTTATCCTAGTCATCGTCATTCAGACCACTCCAATTAGAAGATGTGATCGAATACAACATTCTTCTTCAGGCAACGACGAAATCTGCGGAACCGATTTTTCTTCAACGTTTAGGACAATGCAATTTTAGATATTTCCGATTAATGGAGGTTTGGAGGTTCGGTGCATCTGGATGAAATGGTCCTCGAAGTTTGGGATTGTCTCGTATGTTTTAAAAGTTAAAACGTTTCATCACATATAAAATATGAATGCAAAGGAAAAGATACTCGTAAAAAAAAGTCACACCAAAAATTCAATACAAGCGAGTTTCAAACAAGACTATCCCTGGCACACAGTGGATCCTCATCTGGAGACACTGACGTGGAAAACGGACGATCTTTAGTATCACAAACATGACGATAAAAGGCAATTGAAAGCAGACACCACCACATTTCGCAGCCTCCTGGAATATATTTATATTTTTGGAGTAATGGAATACTCAAAAATACCTGCCACAGCCATCATTGAACTCAAAACAATACTTGAAGGCAGCAACATCTTTCCATTGAATCCCAGTGTCATTAACACTGAAATTATACATTTTCAGATGATTTAAAAGTTATATACCGACCAATAATTGCCAGCACCGCAATAATAATGAATAAAAGCTGCCAGAAGACGTGTGGAAGGATTAGGGAAGGCTTCTGACATCGAGCACCCATGTAAAGGAGGGCTGAGGATATTAAGCATGTAATGCATACTGGAAAAGGGAACAATTATTAAAATTTAGGAGATTATTGGGGTTTTTTCTAGCTTTTCTAGAAGCGGAGATACAGCCATTCGAGGCTAGAAACGATACGACGAGACAATCTAATTGTCTGCGTCTCTCCAAATCTTTGAATGGGTGTATCTCGGCTTTTAGAAAAGCTAGAAACTCGATTCTTTTTAGAATCTGTACGGAATTTTTTGCTTTTTTCTTTAAATCTAAAATGCAGGTTCCCAGTATTTATCTTCTCTTTTCCAATTTTCGACAAAATTTTCTAGTTTCAAAGCACAAATTTAAATTACATAAATTCTCAAAGTAAGGAATTCAATTCTTTACGTTCAATTATCATTTTTTCAGCTTTTTTTTAGAAGCCGAGATACTGTTAATTGGAGGCTAGAGACGCAGACGACGAGACAGTCTAACTGTCTGTGTCTCCCCGAAATTTTGAATGGATGTATCTCGGCTTCTGGAAGAGCTAGAAACTTGAATCTTTTTGAAATCTGTACAGAACTTGGAATATGGTAACTAGACTTACACGAAACATGGAGCCCAAAGAAAAATCTTCCACCACCATCGAAAAATCCCAAAAATAGAAATATGTGCCATCCATTGTGAGCAAATCAGGGGCCTGGATCAGGAGAATTAGTGCGAAGAATACCTTTAAAAATTTCTAATTTTCAGAAAAGAATCCTTTGAGAAAAAGTTCACCTCTATACATAACACCAAATTGATTGAATGTGTAAGGCTCAGCAATCCACACAAGCACATTTCCTGGAATTTTAAAGTTAGGAAACTTTTATCATCTGGTCAAAAGTTGGTGGGGGCCAGGTATACGGATATTGGCTAGGTTCTGGTAGGAAAATGTCTAGCTACGGCTCTGTAGCGGCTTATGAACAGATTGTGGTCGGAATTTTTTCAAGAACGGCTGTATAGCGGACGATTATTTGATTTTGGTCAACAAACGCTCAAAAACGGATGTATAACGGGCCATGGGCGGTTTTTGCTTGGAAAGTGCCCAGAAACGGCTCCGTAGTGGCCCACGGGCAAATGTTAGTTAGCATTTGCCCAAGAACGGTTGTGTAGCGGACCATGGACAAGTTCTGGTCGGAGTTTGACCAAGAACGGCTGTATAGCGGATCATGGGCAGAATTTGGTCAAAAATTGAAGGCGAAATATCGGAACCTATTCATAAGTTTGTCTGAGCCATCTTCTATGTAATGTGACTAACTTCAGACCAGGCAAGGAATTGTAAAAAACACAGTTTCAGAATAAAAAAGAAGTTGAGTGTCGTCGCGAAAAAAATGTGTCAAGCTAGAAGGGAACACATCTCAATAAGAATGAAATCCGAGAAGCCCCGCGCCCGTTTTTTTTGTGTGTATGGGGATATGTAGAGCACAAAAAAGGGCAGTTATGAGACAGAATAACACATTTTTATTGCGTTTTTTATTTCGTTTTTTATTTCTAAAATTGGAAAAAGAGGATATGCGTTTTGGGAACCTGAAGATGTATTGTTTTTACCGTTAAAACCAATGGAAGGCTACCCAAACCATTAAGTTTGAACCCATATAATTCAATTCTTGTGAAAGATATCAAAAAGTTGTTAACTGATAAAATATTGCTGATATTATGATAAACAATTTGTTAGTTAACCACTCTTTGATATCTTCTACAGAAAGTGAGATATATGGACTCAAAGTTAACAATCTGAGTGGCGTTATAGCAGAGTTTATACGGTAGATTTATTAATTTTTTTTTTCAAGTTTTTGATTTTAAAATCTACAATTTGTCAGTTTTGGATTCTCAAAAAAAAAGCAAAAAAATCTGAACAAATTTCAAAAAGAATCGAAATTCCAGCTCCTAGGAGCCCTTCCTTCTAGGAGCCGAGTTACAGCCTCTCGAAGTTTTGGAGAGACGCAGACAGTTAGAGTGTCTCGTCGTCTGCGCCTCTAGCCTCCGAAACTTCAAATGGCTGTTTCTCGGCTTCTATAACAGCTAGAAAAAAGAAAATTGAATGAAAATAATGAAAAATGTTTTGAAACAAAAAGAAACTTAGCTCATTTTTCTAGGATATGACCTTTTTTGGAATTGGAAAATGTTTTTAGAAATTTTTAGGTCCTTCACATTTCCTGGACCTGCCCAAAAAAGGTGGATTAGCTTCAAGAAAAAAGAAAGGTGTGAAACAATAGAAACAAAGCTTAAAAAGTCGAAAAAAAATGTGAAAAAAAATATTTTCTCCACTAGGAGCCAAAAATCTCATAACGCACATTTCCTCTGTCATTTTCCACTAGAAATGGGACGGGATTTCCTCTCCGGATTTCCGATTTTTATGAGTGTGTGGGAAGGTCATAAATTTTGTTGTTTTGGTTTTTAGCGAAGAAAAAACAAAGTAATTATTTCCATAAAACTACCGTATACCTGAGCATCGAGAAGAAGTAATTTGCTCCGAAATCGGGTAATCGTTCGGCGCGTGATCGAAAAACTCCGGTCGTCGGTTCGGCGGTGGGCGCGGTTCAGAGACTTCTGGAAGTAATTAGGGGTAATTAGGGTAATTAAGGTTGAAGGAGGGGGAGATTTTCAGGGCTTTTGGAGAGTATGCATTCTCACGGGTTTTCAAGTTTCCGATCAATTGAACATTTTTGAGGGATTAAAACTGACATAGATTGAAAATTTCGTGGTTTTTTGGATTTTTCAAGCAGAAAACCCTTATTTTTCCATCTATTTTTAGCCATTTCCTGTCAAAAAATTGAATTTTTGGAAAATTTTCAGCCAGAACCTACAACTAATGGTCAGCAGCACTTTTCCGTCATTTTAGGTCGAAAAATATGATTTTCAGACTATTTTAAGCCGAAAGTTTCAAAATTCAAACTATTCTATTTTAAAAATTATAAAAATTTGGACCATTTGATCCGAATTTAAGCTAAAAATGAAAATTTTTCGTCCGAGCAAATTTTAGTCATTTCTGACCATAAAATATGCTTTTCAGGCTGTTTTAAGCAGAAGAAAAATCAATTCTTCTGAACAAATTTTGGAGATTTAAAAGTTTCGAAATTCCCTAGTCACAGGTAAAATGCGAACGGATCCGTTACGGACGCTCAGCGTTCGCGCGCGGTTGAAATAGGAACCGTATACGGACCGCACGCGACCCGTTTTCAGAAAACCACAGCACATTATTTCGTATTTCTCCGTATTCTGTCCGTTCGCGAACTCCGTATCCGATCCGCTTGCGAATGATGGACTAACGGATCCGTTCGCGAATCAGACAAAAGTTTAAGTTCGCGAACGGATCCGTTTATTTATAATTCGCAATCGGATCGGATACGGAGTTCGCAAACGGATAGAATACGGGGTGTGGTTTTCTGAAAACAGGTCGCGTGCGGTCCGTATACGGTTCCTATTTCAACCGCGCGCGAACGCTGAGCGTCCGTAACGGATTGTTCGCGAATCACCTGTGGTTTTCCAGATACCGTAAAAACTCTAATAGAGCGCCACCCGGACCGTCCACTTTGAACCTATATATCTCACTTCTTTTAAAAGATATCAAAAAGTTGTTAACTAATAAAATGTTTACCATAATATCAGCAACATTTTATCAGTCAACAGTTTTTTGATATCTCTTACAGCAAATGAGATACATGGGCTCAAATTTGACTATTCGGGTAGTGTTCTATTATAGTGCTGACGGTATTTGCCGGTCTGCGATTTTTGACAGGTTTTGCACTAAAACCTGAAAAAAGCAGGTGTCTTTCAGAAATCGGTGAAAAGCTAAAAAACTAGGGATTTCCAAAAAATTCCGTGAATGCAATGTTTTCAATCTAGGTCTGTTTTACACTCTTCATAGATTTCAATGTGATTGGACACTTGACAGCCGAGCTCCAGACTCCTGAAAATGGCCAAAATGGTTGAGATTCTAGTGAAAAACTTCGGAAAAAGTATTTTTCAGGTCATTGGGGGCTCATTTAAGAACGTTTTGGAAAAAAATGGCCATGACCACTTCCCAAAAAAAAACCTTAGAAATGGAATTGACACATTTCAAAAACCAAAAAACTGACCAACTTTCTCTGGGACCTCACTTTTGGATAGTTAGTATTATAACAATCAATGGTTCGAATTGGGAGCATCTTATTTTTAGTAGTCTCGAAAATAAAAGAAAATGAACGAAACTAGTTTGTGTGTATGTATTAGCGATTCCTCTATGTCTTTTTCTTTTTTGGGAATAATTAATAGGGTGTGAGGTGGCGAAGATGAAGGATCAAAAAACAATTGGTATGGATGGCAAATTGGACTTTTTGGAATTTCATTTATCATGAGCTAAAAAGAATAGAGCCAAATGGAAAAAGGGCTTTTTGGAATTTCCTTTTTGGGATCATTCTGAAGATAGCTGACGTCATTAGCTAGCTTTGAACATACCTTATTCTGAAGTGACAGGGATTTAACAAGATTCTCGAACAACATCGTCAGAAAAAAAGGATCTTCGGACCTAGTAAGAGGACCAAAAGTGTGGTTGGCTTAAAATTTAGGAGGGATAGAGTTGAGGAAACGAGGAGGTGACAATGTTTACGACATGTTTTATTATGGCTCCTCGTGGTGGAAGGGAAGGAAGAAGAGCAAGAACAAGATGAGTAGGAAAAACGTTTTTCAAGCTGAAATTTTAAGCTGGAATTCTTCAAAAAGTTTAACGACAGCGCTTTTTTAGAAGTTTTTTTTTTAGAAGTTTTTAATTTTTCAGAATAGAAGCTTTAGTATTGAAAATTCGGTTTCTTAAACATTCTTGAGGATTGCTTCAAAAATATGGAATAGAAAATTTTCAAATTAAAAACCCAAATACCAGTTTTTCAGCTAACTCGGTCTAAAGGGACCAGAAGGGTTCCGGAATTCTACAAATGAATGAAAAAAAGAGAAAAAGATAGAAAAAAAAAGTCTGACTCTAATTAAGACGGATTGAAAGAAGAAACAGAAAAAAACAGATCGGAGAAAATGAGAAAAAATTGAAGAGGGTCGGAACAAAAAGTTTAATGAGATTTATAGAACTGGACCACTTTTTTGGAGACCTGATTTCTAAAATGGCAAACAAAGGGATTTTTGAAATATTGGCTGTAACGTTCAAGCTGGAAAAATGGTACCAAATCTGAGAAAATGGTATCCCAAATCTGAGAAGATGGTACCTCAGCTGGGAAAATGGTACCTTAGCCGAGAAAATGGTTCCGAGCTGAAAAAAATGATATTTTAGACGGAAAAAACGGTACCGAATCTTCAAAAGTGGTACCACAACTCAGAAAATGGCACCAGTTCTCAGAAAATGGTACCAGATCTCAGAAAATGGTACCAGATCTTCAAAAAATGACACCGAATCTCAGAAAATGATACCAGATCTCAGAAAATGGTACCAGATCTCAGAAAATGGTACCAAGCTGGGAAAATAGTACCAAACATTAGAAAATGATATTTAGGTGGCAAAATGATACCATATCTGAGAAAATGGTACCAGATATCAGAAAATGGGACCATTTCTCAGAAGATAGTACCAGGTATCAGAAAATGGTACCAGAACTCAGAAAATGGTACCAGAACTCAGAAAATGGTACCTAAACGGAGAAAATGATACCAAGCTGGGAAAATAGTACCAAATCTTAGAAAATGATATTTAGGTGGCAAAATGGTACCTCATCCGAGAAAATGGTACCTTAGCCGGAAAAATGGTACCTTTCTGATCCACATGGAATCTTGACTTTTTTGAGTTGTCGGCTCAAACTTAATGACTAACTTTACAATTTCTGTTACCTAATCAATCTATATTTTTTCTCAAAAATCGAAAAAAAAATTTCAAAAGTATTCTGGAGTCGTTCACTTTCCATTTTCCCATGGTCACAGAAAACTCTCACACCCATTTTTTCACATTAAGTCTGTTTTTTGAATGATCACAGAAACATCGATATAATCACAAGATAGGGAGATAACATGTCAATGTTATCAGTATGTGCTCTAACATAAAACCTGAATTATCTCGGTTCCTATGAGAGATAGCAAAAATGCGTCAACTGATAAATTATTTATCATAACATCACCTATATTTTATTAGTTGACAGAATTTTGATATGTATTGATGGAACCGAGATAATTGAGCTCAAAGTGAACGAATAGGGCGGGCTTCTATTAGAGCATTTAGGATATAAGGATTAGAAGTAAACGTCCCAAAAAATGTTCTATACAAAGATCATAAGATTTTCAGCCTAATGAAGTATCATAAACCTGCGCTACCTGAATATGAAGCAATTTTTGAATAAAAAAGTGCCAAACCTTCAATTGTATCCTCCTTGCTGGTGTCAGAGCAGCCGGTTCCGAGTGTCGTTGTTGTCTTTTTGAAGACAAAAGAGCGTGCAGTTCGGTTTTACTCATTCTGAATATTCTATGACTAGAATTCTTGAAGAAAAATGTACTTGTGCGAGCCAAAAAAGGGTCCGGGTATTGGGGGGAAAAAGGAAGTGAAAAAAGTTGCTGAATAGGGAAGATATGAATACCTTCGGGGAATAAATTGAATTTTACTTTTGGGGAGGGGGGGTAGGAAAATTGAAATTTTGAATAGAATAGACTAGATAGAAAGAAGGGCTTCGAACTTTCTCTAAGACCCCGAAATCACCAAGAATCAAAATTTCCATGTGTCACATTTTTTGGAAAATCGAGAATAAATTGCTCTAGGCGAAAAGATAAGTCTGTAAGAACTTTTTTCTTGTTCTTCGAAAAATGGAATTTTCTGAATGGCACTGCAGAATAATATAAGGAATGCGAAACATCAAAATATAAAGAAAGACACTTATGAGACAAAAAGGTTGCTTGAGCTTTGAACTATTTATAATATCTAGGAGAGAAAAAGAAATATTCAAAGAGCAATTTGGAAATTGGATTAAAGAGAAAAATAGGAAAATAGAGATGACGTTGGAGAGAGAAATTGGAGAGAAAAAAAAAGCTAAGAATGTGAAACAATGCTTAGGACTTTTCGATCTTGGATTATAATGCAAAATTCTAATAGAACAAAATATACCTAGTTTTCGAATTTTTATGATTTTTTTCAAACACTAGCAGCAGACATGTAATGAAATTATGATTTCTGAATTTCTCAAGCCTCGAGCTTCGAAATGAGCCCTATATTAAGCTACTTTGCACAACTTCGAATTTTGATTTATCGACCGCACCGCGCGACCGCGACGCACTCGAAAAAATAATTTTGATAAAATGTAGGGGTGTTTATGCTCATTTCAAAGGCCTTAACAAACAAAACGCGAATCTGGAAACAATTTTCAGTTTGAAGTGAAATTTAAAAGGTTGGAGCGCTTTTTCGGAATTTACACACAAAAAAAAGAGCGCTAGTGTAAAAATTTTGACTTTAAAATATGCAAGAATTTTTATAATACTATAATTTCTGACTTTCTCAGGGCTTGAATTTCAAAATGAGCCCCAAATTGACCCACTTTGCAAAATTATGAAATTTGACCTACCGACCGCGACGCACCCGAAAAACTAAATTTGATCGAATGTAGGTGTGTTTATACTTATCTTGAAGGTCTTCACAAGCAAAATGCAAATCTGGAAAAAATTTAGAGTTTGAATTGGAATTTGAAAAGTTAGAGCGCTTTATCTGAAGTTAATTTTTGAAAAAGCTCTTTTATGATAATTTGGTTATTAAATGCAAAAAAGTTGCACCAAAACTGCCATTTTTGAATTCCTCAAGCCACGGGCTTTAAAATGAGCCCCATATTGACCTACTTTGCACAATTCTGAATTTTTACCTACCGACCGCGCCGCGCGACCGCGACGCGCCTGAAAAAATTAATTTTGATCAAATGTAGGCGTGTTTATGCTTATTTTAAAGGTCTAAACAAGCAAAATGCAAATCTTAGAAATTTTTGCCGTTTGAAGTAACATCTGAAAAGTTACGGCACTTTTTCCAAGCCAAGCCAAGCCAAGATAAAAATTTCGATGTCTATTTTGTGTCCTGACCTCATAAACATCCCGGAAACAAAACAAAAATAAACCTCTTGGAAATGAAAAAAGAACAAAAAAAAAGGGAAAACTGAAGAGTAGGAGGGAAAGAATAATCATGTTATATTTCCTATGAATATTCAAGTGCAAATATATAAGAAGACGAAATGGGTGAGCGGGGGATAAGGGGAGAAAGCTATTTTCAATTATTCAGTAGAGAATGTTTAGTGCTACCCGGAACTCTATTTTTGTCTTGCAGCGCTAAACAATTTTCAGATGCACCTGCTCCCAAATTTGCTGGAAATTGAAAAAAATGACAAATTTTTTAGACTTCTGCGAAACTTCCTGGTAATCTTTAAACCAAAAATAAAGAGACCAAAAAAAGTCATAAAAAAGGAGAAAAGGGTTAGAGCCCAATTCCCCATCCACCACCCGTCACCATTTTTTGTGGGTTTTGGGTTTTTTCTTTTAGACTGAGAATCGTGGTTTTCAAAACGTGGGTGGGAGCTGAAAAAAACGAAATGGCAATCATTCCCTATACAGTCGACTCGTTTACTGGTTTTTCAAAAAGTTTGGTGGGAGAGGAAAATGCAGAAAATCTCGTCTGTCCTTCTGAAGAGGTCGAGTCCTTCTTCTGAATTCCTGGAACTTCTGAATATCCTTTCTTCAGATCCGTCAACACGACTTTCCGCACTCACAGCAGTTTTCAATATGCAAATTTGGTCGTCGAGAAGAACACCAAGAAGCAACGACTTCCCAGTGACGTAAACACATTTCTAGTACTTCTTAGTACCCTCAGAACTTCTTTCCAGCCAGAGAAGCTGGGATTCGGGCGGTACTTCTCGAATCACATGATCGATGTGGATTGGGATGCCAAGGAGGGATGGTTTGCACCACATATTAAGCCATTCCAGAACTTTTCGATTCATCCTGCGGCAAAAGTGTTGCATTATGCCCAGACGATTTTCGAGGGGCTGAAAGCCTATCATGGCGTTGATGGAAAGGTTTGAATTTGGCGCCAAAATGCGGATGTCCCGGTCTAAGAGAGTTTTAGCTTAAACCTATAATCTGAACAAAAAACAAAAAACTTGAGGAGAAATCCTAGCCAAAACCTGTAATAGAAGGGCATAAAAGTTAAGAACCCTTCTATTAGAGGTTTCAGGGTTTAAATGTAATTTCAAATTCAGATTCGTGTCTTCCGACCGGAGCTCAACATGGAGAGAATGCGACGAACCGCCCGGCGTGCCACACTCCCCGACTTCAACACTCGTGAAGCTCTTCTCCTGATCGATGAGCTGATCCGAATCGATGCGGATATGGTGCCAAAAACTGATAAAGCTTCTCTATACATTCGTCCGATGTTATTCGCAACCGATAAACATCTTGGTATCGGCGAGAGTATGCAAGCGAAATGGGCGTGCTTCACAGCCATCACAGGAAGCTATTTTAACTATGACAGAGGAATCCGTCTTCTGGCTGACCCGGAAATGGTGCGATCGTGGAAAGGAGGTGTTGGACAGTATAAGATGGGATGTAATTATGCGCCGACTATTTTTGTTGGAAAGTTAGTTTGAGGACACTGTTAAGGGCAATGAGAACTTTCAGCTCAATTATCTCGGTTCCTTCTAAAGATATCAAAGTTTTTCAACTGATATATAATTTATCATTATATCAAAAATATTTTATCAGTTGATCACTTTTTGATATATCTTACAAGAACCGAGATGAATTTGTTCAAAGCTGAAAGAACAGCACTTGCCGTCTAAGCTACGCGGGCGGCTCCTTATCTCTTACTATTAGCTTTGACTTAATTTTTCTCGGTTCCTGTAACAGATATGAATGTTTTGTCAATTGATAAAATTTTGGTGATATGACAAAAATGTTATCAGTTGACAGATTCTTGATACCTCTCATAGGAAACTAGATAATTGGGCTGGCTCGCTTATCATCCCTTTTTCAGAATGGCTGCAATGCAGGGATGTGATCAAGCGATGTGGCTTTCTGGAGAGGACCGTCTTGTTACTGAAGCAGGAGCCATGAACCTGTTCATGTTATGGACCAATGAGGAAAACGAATTGGAACTAATCACACCACCAACAGATTCTGGACTTCTTCTCCCCGGAATCACTCGACAATCTGTTGTTGAACTGGCTAGAGAATGGGACCTGATGAAAGTCTCCGAGGCAAACTTCACCATGGACCAATTGGTTCGAGCCGTGCAGGAGCAAAGAGTCCATGAGTTCTTTGTGTCCGGGACGGCAGCCAATGTTGGACCGGTTTCGGAAATTTTGTACTGTGATAAGGAGAGAGGTGTTAAGGAGAATTTGGTGATCCCAACGATGAGTAGTAAGATGCAGCTTGTCAAGAGGTTTTGAAAATTCCGATAAAGTTAAAAGGACAATTTTTTCCAGATTGAATAAAACGCTATGCGACATCCATTACGGTAGAATTGAGAAGAAGGAGTGGCAACGCATTGTAGAACTGAACTAACTTACTTTTCCTCGAATGAATGATTTATGGAACCTTATATGCCTTATAAATGCTTTATATGGTGCCGACAATAATATCTTGTTATCTGATTCAAATATTTCAGTATATTGCTCCAAGGATTTTTTGTTTTCTTCAGAAATTTTTTCCACCCATGACTTGGCAAAACCGCCATATTTTGCTCTGTACTGGAAATTGGCACAAATCATGTCCGCGCGCGACTGTGCGCAAAAATACAGGCAATTAGAATGTAAATTGTCTCATGTCCTATTCAATCAGTCCTACAGTACCAACCCTCGCAATCTTTGAAGATAGAGAGCTTCCAAATTTCTATGACCTTTCTTTCAGAAATTTGCAAGAATCGTGTAATAAAACTGTGATTTCTGAATTTGTCATGGCTTCAGCTTCAAAATGAGCCCCATATTGACCTACTTTGCTCAATTCTGAATTTTCACCTACCCAACCGCACCGCGCGACCGCGACGCTTCTGAAAAACTAATTTTGCTCGAATGTCGGCGTGCGCATGCTCATTTTGAAGGTCTTAATGAGCAAAATGCAAATCTGGGAACATTTTGCAATATGAAGTGAAATCGGAAAAGTTAGAGCTTTTTTCTCGGAAATAGAAATGTTCATTTTGTTGTTTTTTTGTTGTAAGTTTCCTTTCGAAATGCCAAACTTTTTGGGTAGACCAGTTTGAAACAAAGGTGAACAGAAGAAAGTGAAAATGTTTTGATATTGTTGCCAATTGTGTACTATGCGCGAGATGTTTATCTGATACTGCCTTTTCCATTTTATGTTTGTTCCAACCATATAAACTATAGGTGCTGATAGGAGGAGAAGGACAGAACCAAAGAGTATAAGAGTTCTAGTTAGCAATTTCAGAAATAATTGAATTAAAATCACAGTTCTCCAATTATGACCCGTTAGGGTTGCAAGTATTATTCACAGTTTCGAACACCTACCGTATTTTCTGTAGTCAACACTTTACCTCCCTTTCGAGCCAATTTATCTTGGTTTCTATGAATGATATCAAAAAGTGGTCAACTGTCAAAATATTTATGACATTATGATAAACATTTTATTAGTGGACTACTTTTTGATATCTATCACAGGAGCCAAGATATTTAGGCTTAAAGTTGGCAGCCTGAGGGGTCCTACTTGCGCAAGCCACCCCTCCCCTCGGCTTCCTGCGCACCAACGCCTCCTAGCTCTTACTATTAGCTTTGAGCCAATTTATCTCGGTTCCTGTGAAGGATGTTAAAAAGTAACCAACTAATAAAATGTTGGTGATAATATGACCAAAAATTTATTAGTTGACAACTTTTCGATATCTTCTGCAGAAACCGAGATATATTGGCTTGAAGTTGACAGCATGGGGGTTTCACCATGCGCGAGGCCACTCCACCACCCCTCCCCTCGGCTTCCTGCGCATCAACGCCCCCCCCCCCCCTAGTTGTTAATTTTGAGTCACGTTATCTAGACTCATGTAAAAGATATCAAAAATTTATCAACGGATAAAATGTTGGTAATTTTATGGTGAACATTTTCTCTGTTGACGACTTTTCGATATCTTTTACAAAAACCGAGATATGAAGGCTTGAAGTTGATAGCATAGGAAGTGGGGAGGTCATTCTACCTGCTTGACTGTCAAATATTACCCCTCTAAATGGTTTCAGACACCTCAAGGTTATGATGACTTGATTCTGTTTGTAATGATAGTTCGCTAATTTCCAACCTAGTCTTCTTATTTTTCATTTTCCTCCAGAATCATATTTCCCTTCTCTCCATGCGCAGCCTCTCCCCGGGCTTCCTGCGCACCAACACCAATTGTTTATAAGTTTATATAATTCACTCTCCCTGCGCTCCCTCTCTTCAATTTCCCTTTAGTTTAGTTTTTCCAAAACTCTCTGATTCTGAATTTCAGCAGTCATGGCATGCGCAGAGACCCTTCCTCTCCCACCTGTCTCTTCTCGTTTTGTGTTTTTGTGTGTTTTTTTTTGTTTAAATGAATTATGTTGGTATTTGTGAAGGCGTGTTGTAACTATACTATACGGGTTCTCACTCCCATCAAATAGTGTCCAAATGTCCTATTTTCTCTTTGTTCCGCGCCTTTTTGACCCATTCCACATTTCAAACCGCTCCATTTTCTAATTCAATTTCAGTTGTTGGCTAGCTAGTCATGGATTTTTTTTTGGCTTTTTAGCTTGTTAGACTTGCTTTGAAGCCAAATTACTGGCTATGAGAACCTGGGCATTCTAAATTACAGGCTAAATTGTCTACTGTGTCTCTGGGTGAGCCTGAGAGTGGGGAAATTATGAATCATGAGCAATTTCAAAGCGTTGTTTCTACCAAGCATAGCCTACCTACTTCCCAAATATCCCTTGTTTTTGTTTTCCTCTCACTCTTTCTTTTTTTTTTCGTTTCGTTTCCTTCGCTCCCGACTTCTCATCCTTCCTTTCGTTCTCCCCCATTTTTTCCTTGACTATTCTGTATCTCGTTTTCTCAAAACCTCTCCATCTCTCACACTATTTCCTCGGGCTCCCGGGAGCCCCAGAAAGCTCTCTGGGATCCCGTGGTCCCTCTCGCGCGCAACTCTGCGCAATACATCGGGAAGGGGATGGGATGGCCGAGAGACGGGAAGAAGGCTAAGTGTAAATTTCTGAAGCGCTTCCGCACTTTGTGAAACTTTGGAAGATTTCACTTTTCGCAAATTTTGAGCATCGAGCTTTGTTTTACCGACTAGTACCTTTTCAAAATACGATTTTGGGGGGATTCTAGAGGTCCAGAACCCTCTGAAGGGGCATCTAGAAATTTTAGAGCTCACCTAGATAAGATCCAAACTGACCGCGCTGAAAAAATGTTTTTTTCCTCTTTCCTAACTTTTTAAAATGAGTTTTTCCTAAAATTTGAAATAATTTTGTAATAAATCTGTGATTTTTGAATGTTTTAGGACTTGAGCTTTAAAATGAGCCCCATATTGACTTACTTTGCACAATTCTAAATTTTTAGCAACCGACCGCGCCGCGCGACCGCGACGCGCCGGAAAAATTAATTTTGATCAAATGTAGGCGTGTTTATGCTCATTTAGAAGGTCTCAACAAGCACAATGCAAATCTGGACACAGTTTTCGGTTTGGCGTAAAATTTGAAAGTTTCAGGGCTTACCCATCGTTAACACTCTAATAGAACGCTACCCAAACCGTCAACTTTAAGCTCGTGTATCTCATTTTCTGTGAAAGATTTCAAAAAATGGTTGACTAATAAAATATTGCTCATATTAAGATGAACAGCTTGTTAGTTAACGACTTTTTGATGTCTTCTACAGAAACCGAGATATATGGGCTCAAAGTTAACGGTATGATTAGCGTTCTATTAGAGTGTTAATGGTAGGTGAAATTCAAACTGACAAAAAAGCGAAAAAAAACTGTCAGCGCTGGAAAAAGTCGTTTTTTTTTTCGTTTTCCTAACCTACCCAGGTGCAAAAATATGAGTCGGGAAACTCCATTTTTCTCATGGCATTCAGTTCTTGGGTTTGCCAACTTTCCAAAGTCCAAACATTTCCCTTTTGCAAAGATTGATGTATATACAAACCGAAACATATTGAAATCATTCAGTAGCCCAATGCGTACAAAATTTCCCATTTCACACACCACACAGACACCCCGGAGAGCCAGGACAGTTGGCTCTCGGGAGCCGGCCGGGGGGATTTTTCTGAATGTCTAGCCGTCTCCACTGATTCTCGAACTCTTTTCTCTCTCGTAACAGCAATAAGCTGCGCGCGCGGGTGCTGGTGGCGGCGGTGTTGTGTTGTAATATTATTTTCAGTTTCAGACGAGTTGTGTTGAAGATAGGGAAGAGAAGAGGAGAAGAAAGGGTTCCCGTGGAGGCGCCCGGCCGCGCGTGTGCGCACAATCGCGCGCACACTCTCCTGCCTTCCTGTGCCTCCATCTTCTGATATTTTTTTTGTTATCATGATGAAGAGATGGGAAGATGGAGAAGAAGGTGGGAAGGAGGAGGGGAACAACAGTTTTGGTTTTGTCTTTCAGCGAGAAGCTGAAAAGACTGAAATGCAGGATGACATTGTTGCGGAAGTCAGGGGCTAGGAGGTTCTGGTCCTTCCAAGGTAACCTGCCTATCCCGTACCCTTGTCCTAAAAAGATTTAAAGTTTATAGCTCAAGCTACCGTAAGCACCCCCCCCCTTCACTCTAACAGAACGCCCAGCCCCAACAAGCTCTCAACTTCGAGCTTATATATCTCATTTCCCGGGAAAGATACCAAAAAAGTGTCAACTGACAAAATGTTTATCATAATATCACCAATATTTTGTCCGTTCAAAAATTTTTGATATCTTTCACAGGAACCAAGATAAACTGGCTCAAAGTGAACAGTATGGATGGGGTGGTGTGGTGCTTTATTAGCGTTTTTCTCTATGAACAACTAGGTGGTTACCATAGAGTACAGCGATTTGTAAATTTCGGCTTTCTTGATTCTTTCTGTCTGAAAGTGCTTTTTGAAGACTGCCGTAGTTAAAAATCGTTCTGAACAATTATCGCACGTCCTTTTTACTTCTTTGGCAAGTTCTGGAATTCTCAGATTTCTTCAGCTCACGCACTCCTCCAATATCCATCGTGCTCTCATTAAACATTTTTTTCTGTTAGTAACTTCTAAGCATCAAGATGATGTTACTATTTCAAAAAATAGTAGTCATTCTTCCGATAGAAGTACACCATTCATGTGAAAAATTTGGGTCCACCCCCCCCCCCTCTCTAGTGCCCTAGAAGCCCGTCCTATACCAACACTTTGAGCTCAATTATCTCGGTTGTTATAAGAGATATTCAAAATTTGCCAACAGATTGCTGATATTGTGATAAATATAATAGAAAAATTGATATCTTTTAAAGGAACAGAGATAATGGAGCTCGAAGTGCACTAGTAGGCCTCGAGTACTGTAGATATTCAAGATTTCCTAATTGTCCTTTGCATGCTCTTTTCCTTCCTTTCTTCTTGCACTTTCCTTCTATCTCCAGCCAATTATATCTCCGTCCATCTCTGTATTCTTCTATGAAAACTTTCCCATCATCACCAGTCAAAAACAACAATAGAGAGTGCGCGGCGGTATGAGTCGTCTCTTTTCTCTCCCATGAAAAAAAAATATATATTTCAATATATACAGCATGTATATATTTTTGATCATCGTGGCTACTAGCACTCTGCAGGAGCGCGCAGCAGAAAAAAACTTTCGAATAATCGATTTCCTTTTCTTCTCCTGATTTTTTTTGCCTCTCGGCGCCCCAATCTGCCGCGCAAGCACACAACACTATCGTCATCATCGGGGAAAGCGGACGGTTGTGGGGGTTTTTTTTATCAATGTTTTATAGTTTTGTATTGGAAGAAAAGAAGACAGTGCGCGGCACCGACGCAGCCTTATCTCTCTATCACTCCCTCCCACCGCGCTCACAATTTTCTCTCTCTCTCTCTCTCTTTTTTTTAAATTTTCGAAATCGACATAAATATTTGCGCTTTTTCAGACCACTTTCTTTCAGTCAACCTCTAACCTCTTCTTTTCAGAATGTCATCCGACGTTCGCAAGATCATCGATCCTGGCACACCGTACAGTCGGACACTCAAGGTAGGATAGCTTCTTTCAGAGATTAGTTTTCTAACCAAGCTTCCAGCAGTATTCCATTGATGAGAAGTTGGCAATCATCTCGCATGCCAAGAATCATGGGAATCGAGCAGCTGGAAGAGAGTTCAACGTGGCAGAGAGTAGCATCAGGGAGTGGAGGAAGAATGAGTCAAAGTTGATGTGAGTTGGAAGGGGAATTTCGGAATTTAAGATCCATATTTAGTTTATGACCATATTAATGAATTGAGGGTTTCATTCGTACAAAGTCACCAAAATCCCAAAAGTAGCCCGCCCAACTTTCAACTTTGATCCCATATGTCTCATTTGCTGTGAAAGATATCGAAAAGTGGCCAACTAGCAAAATGTTACTGGTATTATGATAAATAGTTTATCAGTTAACAGATTTTGGATATCTTTTACAGAAACTGAGATATATGCGCCTAATGTTGATCGTTTGGCGTTAATCGAGGGGTGAATGTTCTAGTTAGGTGGTGCAATGTGTCCTTGGCAACTGTAAAAATTGAGATTCAATTAAACATTGTTTTTTCTGAACTTTATAGATTATACTATCAGCTATCACACAATCAAATGAGATTTGGAAGGGCTGTTACTTGATTGATGGAATTTTTAAATAGGTATTTCACATACCGTATTAACTAGAAGCCCAGCTCACCTTATATGTGTACTTTGAGCTCAATTATCTCGCTTCCTATGAGAGCTATCAAAAATGTTTCAACTAATAAAATGTTTTTGATACTATGATAAAGATTTTAGCAGTTGGTTATTTTTCATTACAGAAACCGAGATATATGTGCTCAAAGTTAACGCTTTGGAGGGCATTCTATTAGTGCAAATAAGGAATTTTCCTGGCCTACTGCCCAGGTCATCACACTGATTCTTGCATCCCTAAATATCTAAGTACCAGATAATCGATACCTTACAGTATGAACATCCAAGCTTCAGAATCTTGCCTTAAATTCTTTCTAATCAAATATAAACTTTCAGTTACAACAAAACCAACCTTGCTGCTGGTTTGGCCGCCACCGCGTCTTCATCATCAACTTCTTCTTCGCCCCATCCATCACTAAGTGCAAGCCACAATCAATCCAATAACAACAATAACAACAATAATAATCTTCAAAATAAGAATGGGAACTATCCACCTTCGCTTCCACAAAACCCCGGAATATTCCGATCAAGTTTGGAGAATAATGGAGTAGTTCCAAGGAGAAATCCCGAGGATATTGTGAAAGTGAGTTTTTGAACCCATATAGCTTGGTTCCTGTAAAAGATATCAGAAAGTAGTCGACGAATAAAATGTTGCTGATGTTATGAGGGACATTTTGCCAATTGATCACTTTTCGATATCTTTCACAGAAAGCGAGATATACGAGCTCAAAGTTGGTACTAGAGGTTTCACATTAATTGAGACAATTAATGGAAAAACAGAAACATTTCAAGTCCAAGAGATTGTCAAAAATCATAATTTCCAGCTCCAACTGGTCCAACTCGCCATGATGAACATGGACTTCACCCATCTGGCTCCACTTATCCAGCTACAACACCATCAACGACTCCTCCAAGCGGCAGCTGCTTCTTCCCAAGCACCTCCAATCCCACAACCCCATCCAGAACCAGCGTCAACCTCTAGCAGTGTCGCTGGAACTCCAAGTTCCATATCGTCCTCTTCTACCCCTCCACCATCTCTGTCTCCCACTCAATCTGGATCAGGAAGACGGAAGCCAAAGTGTCCTCAGAAGATTGTTGAAGTCCTGGACCCTTAAGGGCCTATCTGAATCCTCCAGACTATTTTTTTCTCTGTAAATATTAAGTCTATACCGTGCCTTTAACCCCTCCCAACCGGTGTCCTAGTGATTCTTCGTTTCCTTCTCAAAATCCTAGTGCCTTAAAGAAATCTGCCTTGCCCCCTCCTAGTCCACCCCAACCATTCTGTGCCAAAATTGTTCTTTCTGTAAATTTCTGTGCAATTCTTCTTCTGAATTTTGTTTTTATTCGGATCTCCTCCAAAAATGAATAAAACCACATCTCCTAGAGGAACTACTTTATTTTTTTTTCAATTTCAAGAAAATGGAAAGAAAAGAAAGGGCAATAAATATAGACTGGATAAATATTGGCACCAAAGCGAAAAAAAGAAGAGAGATAGAGATGGAAAATTGGGAGGAAAGACAACTACATGACTCTTGGGGTGAATTACTTTAAGTGGATGGATAGACATATAATAATACATAACTGATCGGTGAGGTTCGCGGGGTTCTTGGGGGGTCCATGGCCTATTGAGCTGGTGGGACACCGCCCACGTTGACGTCTCCTGGTTGTCCAGACGCGGCTTGAGCAGCGGCGACGGCAGCGTTCTGGAATTGATGGTAATCGAGTTGGCATATGTCAGATAGTGAGTCTGGGATCGGATATCTACTTGTCTGGATTTGGACCATAGTCCGATTTATCTAGGTTTCAGTCTGATTCGATTCAAAAGTTCATAGATTCAAAAGCTCTCTAGATTTTTAGATTTCTAATTTTTGAAAAAAAAATGGAAAAAATCTCTAGTTTCAGATTTTCAGACTTACCGGGTCCGACTCATGGTTAGCTCCTGGAATGATCTTTCCAATAGCTTGCTGGGCCTGCGAAGCATATCCCTTCGTGGCATCAGCAGCCGTGGACAGTACGTCCTTGGTCTTGTCGAAGATGGAAGAGAGAGCGTTCTTCTGGAATTTTCAGCCAATTTCTCTTTATTACAGGCGTTAAAAAGTTTATAAGATTCAAAACTTACCGCAGCGTCAGCCATTTTTGTTTGGAGAGAAGAAGGAGAAGAAGGAGAAGAAGTAAAATGCGCCGCGTGTGTATGTGTATGCTCACATGGGGCTCTCGGAGCTCTTGGGGGCGGAGCTGGAGGGAGACGCCCCACGTCTCCGTTTGCGATGCACTCTTTTTTCGGAGGGGCTCCGGCTCCTGCGCACCCCTAAGCCATCGATTTGGCGTGTGTTTATGTATATGCATGTGCTCTTTCCTCTCTTCTCTCTTCCGATGAGCCTGTCTCCTGAAGCCGTCACGTCTTCCTCCTTTTCTCTTTTTTCCTTCTTCTTTCTTTCTTTTTTTTTTTGAAGAGCCTTGACAGACGAAGCGCAGAGCACCCAGTGTTGCTCAGCGCCGGGGACTCGGGAGGATCTGCCTCGGGATAATGACATTAAGCGAGATCCGCGCGCGCCTGAGTCCTCCGGAGCAAATGCATATATGTGTATGTTTTTTTTTCGCCTTCCATTTTTTCCTGAAAAAGAAGAAGAAGATAGAGAAGCCCCCGAGTTTAATTATATGGTTCTTTTCTGATGGAGCCTCGAAGCTCTTTTTCTAGGCAATTTGTCAATTTGGCACTGGGAGACAAGACGGATGAAGATGACAATCTAAAAAAAGAGTCGTGCCGAATGGATGAATGGGAGTGGGGGGGGGGTGGAAATTGTAGTCAACGAAATGGGTGATGATGAGGATGGTCCATTATTATGGGGAAGTTGAAAAATAAGGATGAAATGGGATATTTGGTATATGAAATGACGGGGTCTAAATAAAGGCCGATGATGTGGCAAGGAGCGGAGCTTAGAAATTAGGTCATGGGACGCAGGATGGTTTGTTTAGAAAAAAAACTTTGATAACGTCCAAAGTCGGCACCATCGGCAGTTCGGCAGTTCGACCCAACCAGCCTGTAAAAAGGACCCTGAAATTGAATGGCCCTCACATAGTCTAGTTTCAGCTCAATTGTCTCAACTAGTATGCAAGATCAAAAATCCGCCAAATGATAAAATGTTTGTGATGTTATGATAAACAATTTATCAGTTGACAACTTTCTTATATCTTCAACAGGGACCGAGATAAATTGGATCAAAGTTAAAAGTTAAGAGGCCCTTCTATTACAGGTTTTTTCTCTAAATTCACTATCCAATTCATGACTGCGTATACTTTTTTCTCATCACCAAAATACGCCAACTCCACCCTCGACACTCTATAAATCACGTCGTTTCCTGCTCTATCTTGTTTGCTTGTGTTTTTTTTTCTTGTGTTTTTTTTCTTGCTATGTCCATCCTTTTTTGGGTCTCATGGGGAAATAGGGGGTTCCGGTTCAGAGCTCTTAGGATTTGGGAGGTTCATTCAGGTTTGAAGAGGTTTTGAGAGTTTCAGGTACCCTGGATTTGGGTGGAATGGTTTCGATATTTGGCAAATTCTTAATTGAAACACAATGATTTAGAAATTAGGTGAAAATAAATAATTCTGGCTCATACTTTCCGTGACAAATCACTCCGTCAACTTGGAGCTCAATTATCTCGAATCCTGTGAAACATATCAAAAAGTGATCAACTGATAAATTATTTATCAGAATGAATATCACCTACATTTTATTAGTTGATAACTTTTTGATACCTCTTATAGGAACTAAGATAAATTGGCTTAAAAGTACAATAAGTCTATGTTGCTTTCGAGTTTTGTTGATTTCTAAAAAAGTTCAAATTTCAAAGCCAATACATTGTACGGCTTCTTTTGGTCCAGACTAATTTTTTGAAAAAAACCGATTCCATGGCTTCCAAATCCCACGCATTAGATGTTCGCCTCCACCGATTCATCTTCGCTTTTTTCTTTTTTTTTCCGGCAAGGCTCATGACGTCTTCTTTGTGCCCTTTTTAGTATTCGGTGCTTTTTTTTCGCGACGGAGCAGCTCTTCTCTACAAAGAGCACACTTTCACTTTTCACCATTCAAAAAGAGTGAAATTTTATTTTACGAGAGGGATGGAGACAGGAGAAAAAGGCGCGGGGGAAATTTAGGACAGGGACAGTGAAAAATTGGGTGTGGGAGAAGAAGAAGATTCGTTGTGATTTTTTTTCAGAAGACTACTATCAGTGATAGCCTATCACTAATTTTCAGATAGATGCACACGTTTTTGTACTACGACTCTTCTATAGGAGGGGGAAGACAAGAATAAAGGGGGAAAACAGACCAGGATGAAAAAACACAGAAGAGACAAAAACGTGAAGAAGGAGAAGAGAGATTTTTGGGGAGGAAATGAAAAAAACAAATAAAAATGATTTAGAAAAATATATATATGTGACATTTAGGAGAGCATTGAGAATGGAGAATATGGGTCGGACTGTTGTTGTCGGTGCATCTGTTGTTGCTGATGCTCGGGAACGCGTGTTTGTGGCTGCCAATAGGAGTCTTGTTGGAATGGTTGATACTGATTATTGTACATATTGTAGTCCATATCGGAGGGACCACTCATGTGCATTCGTTTACATGGTGGACTTCTCTGAAAATTGATTATTTTTTTTTGAATTCAGAGGTTTTGATCTTTGGGAATCGCTAGCAAGTTCTGGACCATGGGCCGCTATTGAGCCGTTGTTGAGCAATTTTTGGCCAAACTCTGCTCATGACCCGCTGTACAGCCGTTTTTGGGCAAATTCCAACCAAAATCTGACCATGCCATGGCCTGCTTCATCCTGCCTTTTTCATGGCAGCCTTTTTCAAACATTTTCGGATCAAAATCTGCCCATAGCCCGCTATATAGCCGTTTTCTAACAATGTGGGTTTAAACGACCCACAACACAGCCGTTTTTGAAGCAAGTCCTGACCAAAATCTGTTCATGACACGCTGTACAGCTGTTTTTGGGCAAATTTCAACCAGAGTCTGCTTTTGGCCCGCTATGTAGCCGATTTTGAGCAATTTCCGGCCAAAATCCGCCTATGGCCCGCTACACAGCCGCTTTTGAGGATTTTTAAACTGAAATCTGGCCATGGCCCGCTGTTTAGCCGTTTTCAGGATTTTTTTGGCCTAAAATCTGACCATGGTCCGCCATAGAGCCGTTTTTGAGCGTTTTCCGACTAAATGGCCCGCTACACAGCCGTTTCTATACACCTTCCGATCAAAATCTGACCATGGCATACACCCGTGTTTGGGCATTTTCTAACCAAAATCTGCTCATGGGCCGCTGTATACCCATTTTTGAGAATTTTCTAACCAAAATCTGGCCACGGCCCACTAAGCATCTGTTTTTAGTCAATTTCCGGCAAGAATTTGCTTTTGACCCGCTACATAACCGTTTTTGGACATGAGGCCGAACCAGAAATCACAAGCCAACACAACTTACGTCAATATGAACTGGTATAGCTGCTGGCATTGAAGGAACCGCCGGTGTGAAATCTGGCAGGTCGTACAGTGCCTGAAGCTCTGGTGGAAGCAGTCCCTCATCAATGTTCATCATCTCGCAAGTGTCCACGAACGGCGCCAAACACGACAGATCCGGCTCTTCCCATTGAAGATCGTCTGGAACATTCAATTCATGAAAAAAGAACAAAACTTGAAAGGACTTGCCACAAATGATTGGTTCGCAAGCGTTTAGAGTCGGCGACGAGTTGTTGAGAGTGACGTTGTCGGCTGCTGCTGACGCCTGCTCTTGGGCAAGGAGAGAATCGGCAAAAGGCATAGCGGCGAACACATCGGAGACGTCGTGGAGTCCAGACATTTCAGCGGACGACACATCGAGAGAATCTGATGGTGGAACGGCGGAAAAGCGTCGTGACGGATCGGACGGACTGCAGCGGCTGACCATAGGTCGAGAGTCTCCGTACATGACTTGCCCAGATTTGATACTGCAAAAAGAATAAGATATGATTTAAGCATAAGCCTAAGCCAAAGTTAAGCTTAAGCCTGTGAAGCCTAAGCCTAAGGATATTTCTCAAGCTTACCTCGGGGGACTGTTAATTCCACACTGTGAGAGGCCTTCTGCGAGTGGCGAGTAGTTGGCGCTCTGCGGCTGCGTAGAAGCTGCTGACGATCCAGAGCTGTCTGTGATGGTTGTGGCCGTGCTTCGCCCGCCGTGGCTTTGAGCTCGTCGTCCGTAACTGGCACGCGGGCGGGAGGCACGAGATGATGAATCCATGAATTGCGGCGAGGCCAGAGAGGTGTCGAAATGTGTCGTCTTGGCGGTTGATTGGAAGCGGTCCGCCGATCGGTAGCGTGCCGGCGGCGGAGAGCTTGGCTGGTCTCGAAAAAGCCATTGCAGAACGTCATCGTAGCTGTTCTTACGTGCTCCTGGAATATATTGAATTATGAAGTTAAGTATCTGGGTCAGAACAGTCTAGAAGCAGTGTGATCATGCAGGGGAAGATTCATAGATTTTTCTTAATTCTGGTTAAAGCTGAAAACTCACGAGGTAGAGGACAACGGAGGGAAAGTGGCGTTCTGTTTATTTTTAGTTAGAAATTTTTAAATTATGCACCTGAACCTCGCCTCCGCTGTCCTCTTCCTCCTTATCAATATTGTAAAACGGTGCTAAATCCACGTCGAACTCTGGCGCAAGGCCAGCGTCCTCAATGGATTCGGTATCCGAGTCCATGTCGACGTCATCGTCCATATACTTCGAGACTTGTCCATAAATACGTTGCTCATACTCATCCGTAACAGAGTAGATACCTAGATTGAGGTTACTACGAAGAGTTACTACAGTATGTTATTGTAGTTACTACAGTAGTTATTACAGCATTTTACTACAGTAGGTTACTATAGTAAAAAGGTTACTGTAGTAGTACAGCACTTACTACAGTAGTTAATACAGTAGTTACTACATAGAGTTAATAGGGCCCATGGAAAAAGAATTCAAACGTTGATCGGTCAATCTTGAGTCTCGAGCAGTTGCAAATGCTCAATAACATATCACAGTTGTAATGTTGATCTGTCGAACTTTCAACAGAGCCAGATATCAAAAACAAATCACATTTTTGTTATTCAAGTCGGTCGGCTAGTTTGGATTTAAAATGACAAGTTTCTCAAGTTCACACTATAAAGACACTCACCCATATCAGCTTGTTTCACTGGTTCCTCTGGAATTTGTTGTTGTGGAATGACCGCTGGCTCATATCCATCCATATCATCACCTTCAACCAGTGGAGTGAACTCAACGCATTCAATGATCTCAGGCTGTCTTCCAATGTAGTCTCTAGTGTCATCGATCTCCTTCTTAATATCCACTTGCATTCCAGCTGGCATTGTATCAGTGCACACCACCAGCGACTCTTCGGATCCTTGAATTCCAAGTACATAGTGAACACAAATGACATACTGTCCCTTCTGTCCTTTAGTGGTATGTGTGATGGTTGTGGCTTCCGTCTGGACCCAGGCCAAAGTGTCGTTTGCAGCTATCAGCCGATAGTATGGAGTACGGTTGTGTCCCTTGGCGAAAAGCTCCTTCATGGCTTTTGACACGATTTCCATGTCTCCCGGATGCACTAGGTCGTAGAACGAGGTTCCCATGAGAGATTTCAGCTCGCTTTTCAGAATGTAGTTGAATTTGTCGGAGACAAATGTGATTCGCATGTCGCAGGTGTGACGGGTGGTGAAGGCGCCCATCGGGGATTCGGTGTACTAAAGAAAGAATTTGTAGGGTCTAGAAGATATTGGAATGGCCCAGAAAAATATATGTAAGAGAATCTAGTAGGGTCTAAAAGGATCTAGAAATGTCTTGAAAGATAGAGTATGGTCTAGAAAGATCTGGAAGGAACTGGAAGGGCCCAGAAGGACTTAGTAGGATCCAGAAGGACCGAGAAGGATCTAGAAGGATCTAGTAGGATCTAAAAGGGTTTAGAAGAATCTGGAAGGGTCCAGAACAATCTAAAAGAACCCTGAATGATCTAGAAGGGCCTAGAAGGATTTAGTAGAGTCTAGAAAGATCTAGTAGGGTTCAGAAGAATCTAGTAGGGTCTTGTATGGTCTAGAAGGATCAAAAGAATCTACAAGGGTTTTTTTGGGATTTTGCAGTACTGTATTGGTTTCTTGGTCCCCGGTCCCCATCCCTTCGTGGTACCTAAGGATTCCTAAGAATTCCTAAAGATTCGAATCTTGGTGTGCTTTCAACCCCTTGCTTCTCTTTTCTTCAAATTTCCTCTATTTCATCCAATTTCTTCTTGCACTGACAACGAAGAAGAAGCAGAAGACGTCCCATCTTCTTCTACGTCTTCTGTGCTTCTTCACAAAAAAGGGAGAATGACGCCAAGTTGCATGTGCCTCGTCCCTCTCCAATTTTCTAATCCTTTTTTCTATGCACACGAGTGAAATGATGGAGGAGGGGACAGAAGCGAAAAACTGAGTGTGCTTTGCTTCTGCTCCTAGCTGCGCACATTGGCGCCAAGTAGATCGAAAGATCAGAAGAAGAAAGTGTAACGTCTCCCTCAGGCCTAGACAAGAAATGATAAAGGATATCCCCCCGATCAAAAGATCAACTATCAAGCTCACCTTTGTCATCGCAGATGCATTGGCATTTGTGGTGCCCTGTCCAGCAGGTATAGTGATGCCTTGCATAAATGACACGTGTCCCCCGGTTGAAACTTTTGAGTGCACCAAGAACGAGACGGATTTGTACAAGGCGCTCTTCAGGTTCAGACACCGACCACGTGGGCTGATCACTGTCTTCATTCGGAGCACAATGTTGACTCCGTTTGGATCGGATTCCTCGTCTTTCGGCTTGTGCAGAAGTTTGGTCTGTTTATCGAACTCATCGTAGTCGGCTGGATGTAAAAAGTCGCGAAGAGCACGGCCAGTGAGGTCAGTCTGAAAGTTCAGTAAGTGTTGAAACTTCAAAAACCTTCTAGGCTTACCTGTGTTAATCCCAAATACAACGCGACACTCTCTGTGACATACAAAATCGACGAATCGCTATCCACAATCAGGACGAATCCATCTAAACACTCTGCTATCGTCTCCTCATTCCACACTTCATTGTTGAACTCGTTGTCCAGGTCGTTTTCGAGAACTGGAAATCCTTGTTTTCGTGCTTGTATATATTCTTTTAGAATCAATATTTTTGAACCAACTAAATTAGATGGCATAAAACTAAACGAGTGCTACAAAATGATATTATTTGGAATGCTATATCTTGTCTATGAACAAAGTTTCAAGGCTTTATAGCTAGGACCCCAAAGCTCCGACGGTTTTTGATTTTTAACTTTGTTCATAGACAAGATACAGTATTCCAAATAGTATGATTTTGTAGATCTTGAATTTTTCTATCATGTTTATTTATTCAGTTCAAAAACTTTGATTCTAAAATAAACTATGCGGGCCCCAACTGTTAATCTTAATTTGAGAAAAAAATCTGATCTCTGATCATACCCCCCAACTAATTCCTTTCTAATTCAATTTGATGTATTTCCAATGTCACTTACCATTACCGGCTGTCTTTCGAAGACGGCAAATCGTGGCGGCGACGCGTAGAAGTGCTATTCGGTCGAGATGGGTTACTGTACCCTCTTCAACAATCGGTACCACTTGTTTGAGTTCATCGAAAATCTCTCCTTCCTTAAAACGACGATCTCGTGCCGCGTATCGAGATGTTTCTCGTCGGCGTTCCATGTTTCTGGAATTTTAATTAATTTTTTTTTCACTGGAATCGTTGGCTCTTTATGGCAAGCCCCTATTTTTTTTAAACATCTAATCCGATTTTCTAACATCAATCTCATTAAATTCCAGCACCTCGCCGCTTCCGGACTAAAAATGAATCCAGAAAGCGAGAGAGATACCAGCTAAAGAAGATACATCGCATATCTAATGATTCATTTGATATTCGATTCGGAAATGCGCATTTTCGATGATTCCCTATAAGGACTACGGTAGGTGTGAGCCCCTTTTAGAGTGCTCGACTATTGAATAGCGAGCTAACAAGGCTTATTATATGCAAGCTCGCAATCCTGGAAAAAAGTATGACTAACCGTTTTCTGTTGTCCTCCATTGTGTTAGAAAAATGCAAAAAAAATTATCCGAGCAGCTCTATAGAGCTGAAGTTCGGCGTGCGTGGGGTAACTTCCCCGTGATCAAATGGTTCTTGCTGAAAATTTGAATTTCATAGGGACATCTTAAAAGGAGCTATTAAGAATCTCGAAAAGTTGAAAGAAACAAAAGAAACGAAAAGCGCAGAGACACGAAATGGGTGAAATGAGCAGAAAAACAACAACAAGAGGACAGGGTCCAAGATGACAGATGGGGCTTAAAAATAGCAAAGAAATATGATATAGAATGGGGACTGAGAGTTTGGGGGACAAGTTGACAAAATGGTTTTTTACTACTAAGGAAGAAACTTATTAGAATTTTATTTTTGAAAATATGAAGCCTGCCTGGAGAGTTAACTTTAATGCTCTAACAGAAGCTCGGCCTATACGTGCACTTTGAGCTCTATTATATCGGTTCCTAGGAGAGGTATCAAAATTTGTAAACTGATAAAATGTTACTGATATCATGATAAACATTTTATTAGTTTACAAATTTTTAGTATTCTTGACAAGAACCGAGATAAATTGTCTTAAAGTTAAACGTTAGTGGGCCTTTGCCGAGTAACGCGGTCGGCTGCCGACTTTGTAACTTTGACACAATTTATCTCAATTCCTGTGATAGATATCAAAATTTTGTCAACTGTTAAAATGTTATGGATATTATGATAAATAATGTTGCAGTTGACAACTTTTTGATATCTTTAACAGGGACCGAGATAAATCGTCTTAAAGTTAAACGTCAGTGGGCCTTTGCCGGCTGAGTTACGCGGTCGGCTGCCGACCTAGTAACTTTGACATAATTTATCTTAATTCCTGTGATAGATATCAAAATTTTTTCAAATGTTGGTATGTTACTGATATTATGATAAGCATTTTACCAGTTGACAACTTTCCTATATCTTTGACAACCGAGATGAATAGGCTCAAAGTTAACAGTTAGGGATCCTTCCATTATAGGTTTTTCGATAATATGATTTCAAGGTATGATTTCAATAAGGCAAATAATTTCATAAACTCGAAAAGATCCAATTTTGGAGAATCCATATTTGACGAGTGGCCATATATGATGGTACCCAAAAAACTCTCAATATTTACCCTGTGAGTAGGATGTAAACATACAAATATGAAAGCGTAAACCCGTTGTCGAAAGCCCCTATCTTTAAACTCACCTATCTCATTTCCTGTTAAAGATATCAAAAGTTGTTAACTAAAAAATTGTTTATCATAATATCACCTACATTTCATCAGTTCATAGATTCTAGATTACTTTCACAGGAATCGAGATAATTGAGCTCAAACTCAAAGGTCAAACGTTTGAAAGTGTACAAGATCATGACATTAGCAAAACAAAATTCCACCTGACCAAAAAGTATTTGAAACAAACAAAAACAATTGAGAGCAAAACATTGTAGTTAGCGTAGTCAGAGACAGAAGATAGGGAGAGACAGAAAAAGTGCACACTTCGATAAGAATCGATAGAAGCAACTGTTGGGCCGGTGGGGGCCCGCTAGAGGTATGAAAGACGTTTGTAACATTTCTTAGGCAGAGCATGATGACTGATGGGGGGAAATGCCTGTCAATTCGAGTGGAAATTGCAAGAAACGACTGGACGAATAGGGCGCTGATTACATTGAAATACACACGAGGGGTCGCACCAGTCATGTGATAAGGAAAATGAATCGAAGATGGAGAGGAAGATTAACTTTTGAATAGAAACTAAAATGTTTTTTCTGCGTAACTGGATATTTATAAATATGGATATTGACATTGATATCAAATGATTGGATTTCGCATCCCCTTCCTTTTTATTTAATTCAAAAACCATTTTTCGAACTGATCTTTGTATGACATAAAAAAAATCTTTTAATCCTAATCCTTTTGTTACTCTATCTAGAAAAATGTATAATGAATTTGAAAGGGTAAGCTTTTTTCCAGTTGTTGCTTTTTCCTGGAAGTGGGCGGGGCTTAGAAGACATTGCGTCATCACTAGAAAGACTTGAACTTTGAAAATTATAAAATTGATTGTTGATAGGGTCATAAATTAAAAGAAATTGAAGGAAAAAAAATCAATAAATCGAAGGAAAAGAGACAAAAGGAGATAGTCATCAAACATGAGGCAAAGAAAGAAGAAGAAGAAGAGATGGGTGATAAGGGGAGAAGAAGATCGTTTCGGCCCGTGGTGTGTGTAGAAACGACTTCTTCTAATAGGAGAAAAAGAAATGGTGGAACTGTCAATCTGGTAAATGAGAGAATTAGAGAAAGAGAGAGAGAGAGAGAGAGAGAGAGAGAGAGAGAGAGAGAGAGAGAGAGATGGGCTAGAGACGTAGAGGAGGCAAAAAACTGTGATGGGGATTTTTCGGACAGTTTAGATAGATAAGAACCTTTAAAGGGCATGGATAGGGCTCTAAAAGGAGGCAGGTGAATATAATGGGGTACTGTAACTAGTAGAAAAGAGGTTTAAAATCGCCAAAAGCTAAGACTAACGGTTTTTAAACCACAGTACCGGTCAATGGGTAGCTAAAAACGTATTTGTTGGTTGATTTTAGGCACTTCTGGCCATTTTCAAAGTTTTTCAGCTATTTGTCAAGTTCTGAAAGACACCTATTTGGCCCGTTTTTGGACTGAAAACGGTATCTTTCAGAAATCGGCAAATAGCTGGAACTAAGAATTTTCCGAAAATTTTGTGAATATAGAGTTTTCAATCTAGATCTGCTTTAGACCCCCTGAAGTTTTCAAAGTGATTGCAACCTTGATATCCGAGATCCAGATCTCTCGAAAATGGCCAAAAATCAACTGAAACATAGATTTTTGATTGACTAGTAATGTAAGTGAGTACTGTAACTGGTTACAGAAACTTGTGAGGTGTACACAGATGGCTGGTGCGCCTACGACGCAATTGAAAATTCTATTGCTGTGAATGAAGATTTCAGTCTTTAAGCTCCGCCCACTTCCAGAAAAGAGCAAAATTTTAAATCTAGGCAGTTGGAATCAATCAGCAAGTTCACACATTTGATTAGCTAGCCTTTATTTAGAGCATTTATTCTAAAATTATATAATGTTAATTTTGACACTTTCAAGCTTCAAAAAAGTAGCTAGTCTATGCCAAAAAAGCCTCCTTTATGATAAAAGGGCGGAGCAAAAGAGTCCCCTCCAAAGGCGATTCAAAAAAAAGTGTATGTCCCAAAGATGAAGATGGACATGCAAACTTTTTTCTCTGCCAGAGAGGCAAAGATTTCTCTGAAAATGATTGGGACAGAGAAACGAAGAAAAATGCTTGTTGGACAGAGAAAAAGCTAGAGATCCTAAGAAAAAGGAGGGAGCAGAGTGGAAGGAGCGAGGAGCTGGTTGGGGGAGAAATAGTATTCGACCTCATGAGAGGAAAGAAACAACGTCACCCCCCAACACAGAGGAGATACAGGAAAAGGGCTTGGCGAGAGAGTGGAGAGTGCCAGACAGAGGACAGGCGGCAGAATTCCGACGCAGCGTTTGGTGGTCAAGAGTACATACGGCTAGAGAATCGGAGAGAGACAGTGAGAAGGGAGGACACGTGGTTTTGATGGGAGAGAGAGGGGGTGGGGGGAGATGGGCGGCGCGGTAAATAGATGGAAGCGTAACGGTGAATCGAATTGAAATAAGAAAAAACGAAAGGGGGAACAAAAATGGACTTAATTAACTTTAATTGAATTCTTGAATTCTCGCAAAGCGGAATTTCCTGGTTTTTGTTCCAGAGAACCTTTCTTTCCCACCCCCATTCTAGCACATGGGAGAATTCAGGAATCCAGGGCAGAGTCCTGGGAATCAGAATCGGACCGATGGGAATCTGAATTGTGCTCAACTGGAAAAGAAAAAGCAAACTCGAAAAACTCCTAGAAACCTCTCTGCTAGAAACTGTACCTGTGCTTTTTGTCTTTCTTGGGAGTGTGGGGTGATTATTGATAACACAAAAAATTTATTGACAAGGGAGAACATGAGACCAGTTAATCAAAATCTTATAGTTAGAACTATACAAAGGGCGGGTATTTTTTGATTGGATGAAGATTGTTCTTCATCAAAATTTGGAGGAAGTGATCAGTGATAAGTGATAGGGCGAAAATGACAAAATGGATAAACCAGCACAATCTATTGAAACCAGATGGGCTTCAAATGAAGTTTAGGCTTACAAACACTGATCTTAGAACCGTTGCACTAATGTATGGGGCAGAACATATGCATGAATAGTTGTACTGAGCTCAAATTTAGCTTACAAGAATTTCCATATTTAGTCAGCAAACTGATCAAGTTTCTAATCATTTGATCAATTTTCAGCTGAGTTATCACTTGTAAAAGTTGCTTTATCATCTTTGGACCATCATAACAATACCTAGACTTGAAGAATCGCTTTGAAAATTTCAGAAACTTTAAATGAAACGTAAAATTATAATTCTGCCAATTATCATGCTTTTAAGATTGTTTTGTCTCGAGATATACCCGTTTTTATCAGTCCCGGTAGTTGTGCGCCACCCTATGATTGAAGCCCACCCTAAACGTTCAATTTGAGCTCATTTATCTCGGTTCCTGTAAGTGATAGCAAAAAATTTTCAACTGATAAATTTCTTATCGTAATATCAGTGATATTTTATCAGTTGACAGATTTTCGATATCTTTCATAGGAGCCAAGATAAATGAGTTCAAAATTGTAGGATTTAATGAGAGGAAATACGGTAACTTTGAGCTATCATGGTTCTTTCAAAAGATATCAAAATTTTGTCAACTTATAAATTATTTATCATAATACCATCAAATTTTTGATATCTCTCATAGCAACCGAGATAATCGAGATCAAAGTGCAAATGGGCTAGAGCATGGTCTACTTCAAGAACATGTCGTCATGAATTAGGATAATCATAGTACAACCATAAATAAACTGTAATCTGTAACTCTGGTCACTTTTTTGGGATCATCTACCTGCTGAGCAGCTAGGATCTTTGGGTTAAAAGCGTAGGCGATCAGGCTTCTAGTTCCGATGTACCGGGATTTACTCTCCCGAACTGCAAGAAGGATGTTATAAAACTAGCTAACATCATTATACTAATTGACTGGCACCCAATTATAAAAGTGCAAAATGGATGTTACAAACTGGCTTACAGAATTTTAGCCAAGCTCCGCCCCCTTTCCCGAGCACACCAGACGAACCCGATGATAAAAACACTTCCTAGTAATACTAGGGCAGTATCCCATTAATAACTGACCAGTCCTCTGACATTATCTAGAACCATCTGCCTTGTTTTCACAACAACCACCACCATCCACGTCACCACACTACGATTTTCAGAGGCCTCCTGCTGCTGCCTCAAGGCGCGACGCTGCGACGTCGCAGCGGCGCCCCCCCGAAGTGCAAAGAACGACGAGAAAATATAGAATGGAAGAGAAGGAGAGGAGAAAAAAGACTCACAAGTTCAGTTCACAAACATTTCTCTCTCTCTCTCTCTCTCTCTCTCATCACTGCCCCAAAGAGAGTTTTGGGAGAAAGAACACGCGAAAAAAAAGAAAAGAGTAAAAAGAAAAAGAGAGAGAGAGAGAGAGAAGGAACACAATGGCACACACTGGTTTGTTTGTAATTGCAAAATGATCTTCGGGCGTCAAAATCAGCCTCGCTTTTTTCCCGAAAAAAATGATGGGTTAGGTGCACATGGGTTAGGTGCAGAATGTTGTGGAGAAAGCGTGGGAAAGGATTGAGGTTGATTTTCAGAATTAAGTGGTTCTCTGCATCAAATATCCATGACTCTAATCAAATCTCTTTGATTATTTTCTTTTACCGAATCAATTAGAAATCAAACTTTTTTGCGGAAAGCACATGTTCTAGAATGTTCTGGAAATTTTTCAGGAATGCTCTTGAAGACTTTTTTTTTAATTCTCTAGGTGATTTTCCAAGAAATCATATCATGTCACTTTGTCAACAACTCAATGGACACCGTAAACACTTTGATAGCCAACCTCTCAGCTTTTTACTTTAAGCCAATTTATCTCGGTTTTTGTAAAAGATATCTAAAAGTGATCAACTGATAAAATATTAGTGATATTATGATAAACATTTTATTAGTTGACAACTTTTTGATTTCGCTCACAGGAAACGAGATACAGTTATTTGAAGCAGTGCTTGCCGACTGAGGGCGGTCGGTTGCCGACCTCTTCACTTTGACACAATTCATATTGGTTTCTGTGCAAGATATCAAAAAGTGGTCAACTAATAAATTGTTTATCATAATATCACAAACATTTTATCAGTTCAGAACTTGTTGATACCTTTCATAGGAACCGAGATAAGTCAACTCAAAGTTAAAATAGCGACCTTTCTCGGCAGAGCTAAACGATCGCTGCTGGACTTTTAACTTTGATGCGATTTATCTCGGTTCTTGTTAAAGATATGATAAAGTGGGCCACTGATAAAAAATTACTGGCACTATGATAAACAATTCATCAGTTGACAACTTTTTGATCTCGGTTACTGTAACAGATATCAAAAAGTTGTCAACTGATGAAGTATTAATGATATTGTGATGAATATTTTAACAGTTGATAACTTTTCCATAGGTAAATTGAGTCAAAGTCTAAAAGGCGGCCCTCGCCGAATGATTATGAGCTACACGTTCGGCTGCCTACCTTCCAGCTTTTACTCAATTTATCTCGGTTACTGTAACAGATACCCAAAATTGGTAAACCGACAAAATGTTGGTGATATTATGATTAACAATTTTTCAGTTGACAGCTTTTTTGATATCATTTACAGAGTAGGAGATACTCGGCTGTCGGCGCCAATACTTGGCCAGATCTCCCACAAGTCTAGCACAAGTCTCCGAGCACATTATTCTATGTATTAGCTAAGACTTGTGGGAGGCTTGTGCAAGACTTGTGGAAGACTTGTCCTAGACTTGTGTGTGGCTTTGTGTGTTTTCATTGAAACCTGTTGTTTTGTTGTGATTGTATTTGGAATTAGATATACTACAACATTTTATTAGAACACTACACAAAACGAATAATGAGAAAAAAATAATTAAAATCACAAAAAATTTCCACCTTTTCGTTTCCTTTTCTCCTTTGAAATCCGTTGAAATTCATCGACAATGACAGTGTAATCGCATCAAGCCGAGCCATCTCATTTCCTCAATTTTTGCTTTGTATTTTGAAGTATCCTTTAGACGAGAACATTACAATCCAATTTCTTGCATCTGAAATACAAACGATAATTTAAAAAATTCTCAGTCTTTGATAACTAATACCATCACTTGCTTTTCGAAAATTTTCACAGATGTGGTTTCGACATTACTGACTTTCGGATAACAAGCATCTACATAATGTGCAGTGCAAATAAATTCTTCTTTACATAGTTCGAGTTGTTTTCAAATCCTAAAAAACGTTACTTCTGTGAGTTCCAAACATTGTTTTTTACTGAAATCGTGTTCATTTTCCACTGCGACACTCTGCGCATGCACGATTTTGATGAAACTCTGAATCGTTTTCATAGAATTTTGAAATTCCTTGAAAAATGTATGAAACCTTCAAAAAGAGATCCTTTGTCGACTGAAACAGCAGCTTTGATGGAGAATTTTTTGGTGGAATTTTGCAGAAAATTAACTTTTTCCATCTTCCGTCTCCTCTTTTTTCGTGAATCGAAATTCTGTATATTCAAGTGTTCGAATTCTGTAATATTGAACACTTCAAAGCTAAATATCTCTTCATAATAACTCACGATATGCTCACGACTCGCAGATTTATCCTTTTTCGGTTTTGCTTTTTTGAGTTGAAGTTGAATGTTCTGTCATGTTGAAAGTTGTACGATTCGAAACTTCAAAATTTCATATACCAAAAAATTAAAATACCTTCATAAAAATTCGAACCTTTATGAAAATAGTAGAAAAATAGGTAAAACCAGAAAACAAATTGAAAATTAAATGATGAGTCCGAAGGTGAAAAATCAATAATCAGAGTTTGGCCAAGACTTGTAGCCTTCCGACTATGGGCCAAGACTTGTGGAAGCCATCACAACGGCTCATGGAGGCGCATACTTTGGCCCAGACTTGTGGGAGGCTTGGCCAACACTTGTAAAATCATGAAATTTGACCAAGTATTGGCATCCGCAGCCGAGTAAATGGGCTCCAAGTTGACGGTTCGAGGGGGGGGGGGTTCTATAAAATGCTCTGAAAAACTTTTCCCATACAAAACTCTGCAAAACAAAAGAAGATTCAAAATGAAACAGCGTGTGAAGAAGGAAGTTTCACATGATGTTTACCTATGCTCATAAGATTTCATATATGCAGTTTGAAAATTCATAAGACCAAAACTCTTGAAAACTTTCGTTTGATCAATCTTTGAGTGATCTTGAAAGCAAAAATTTCATGTGAATGGCTTCGTTATTTACTGAATATTCAAATGTTAAGTAGTCAAGAAAATGATGTTTACTGCTAAACAAGTTGTATAATGCAAATGTTACTCAAATATCACAAACAAGAAGTTTCTACAAGATATGAATTCTTGATGTGTCAAAGCTACTAGATCAACGTATGAATAGTGGATTGATTAAAGGGGATTTTGAGAATCTCCTGAGCTCAAAATACTACAAAAAAGTGCAATCCGATTGCACTCAATGTCTGCTCAACCAGAAATCGTCGAATCATTTTTCGTTAGATCAGAAAATCAGTAAGAAGTTCTGATCAGAGTTCATTTTCGAGGCTAAACAGGTGATTCACTTTCAGTTGCTCTTTCTATAATTTTCCAGAATTGTAAGTCATCGTAAGCCAGGTCCCTTTTCTAGAACAGGTGATATTTTATGCAGTTTTATAGTGTAATGAGAAGGATAGAGGCTAGAAAAAAGTAAGTGTCGAAGGCATTAAAATCATGTTTAACATGCTGTAGATGGGGAAAAGAAGAAGTTATAATGAGGCAGAATCGATTGACCATAGACAGAGTAGGCCTGTTTCTTATTCTACGAACAATAAGAGAATATGACAGACGCAACGGAGGAACTGTATATGAAAGAGAGAGAGAGAGAGAGAGAGAGAGAGAGAAGATGAAAAAGAAGATGAAGTGGAAGGATGATTCAATCTAATAGAAGAAGTAGATGAACAAGAAGATCACCATGATCAACCTACCAATTATTTTTCAAGTTCTAGCTGTTATTTTTGCGATTATTGTTGGATTTTGTCAGGCAGTGAGTGTGCTTGGTTCCTAATTCTTAAGTCATCAGAAAGTTTAAAAAACTGAAATTCGTAAAAGGTTTCACGGTAAAAGGGCTCATAACTTTGAACTTATTTATCTCTGTTCCTATAAAAGATATCAATCAACAATTAACTGATAAAATGTTGGTGACAATATGATAAATAATTTATCGGTTGACACAATTTCGATCTTTTGAAAAAACCGAGATAATTGAGTTCTAATTGTAAGATGACAATCAGTTAACCCCTAGTTCATGGGCGGAGCTTCGTTGTCCCAAAATCAAATGAAACATATTCCAGGAAACCGCGCCATCCCTAAACGAAATCAAGAATCTCAAAAACAGTGATCTTGACGAGATATTCGGCTCAACAATGACCAAATCTCCCCCTCCAGATCTTCCCGACATGTCTAATCCAATGGGTGGTGTTGACCCCATGGGAAGGTTCAACCGCGTTCCAAGTGGTCCACGTGAGATTCCAATCAACCATGGACATGCGTTGAGTCCGCAGCCTGGTGTCCCACAAGGAAATGGAGGAGAGTTTCAGTCGTTGGCTGCTCAAGGAGCTAATGTGTTTGCCACTGGGGCCACTGCTTTTTATCGGTGAGGGCTTCTTTCTCAACTTTATTATTTATAAACAGAATTTGTGATTCCTTAGTCCCACACTTCCAGGGGTGCTGCCACTGTTGGAGAGGCATTCGGAATCCCAACTGGGAATTATCAAGTCCCACTGTTCAACCAAGCCGCTGGCCTCTTCGGACGATGAGCTGCTCCTATTTTTTACACTCTTACTTGTTTGTTTGTATATTTTCCAGGCACAAAATGAACATTGGCTCTTTTATTTTTTTCATTTTTCTTCTTTTCCTCCAAACCCTCTCGCCATGTGCTCCTATCCGTCTTTTACAACTCATTGTTGGCCTTTTCTCCATCAAAAATGAAAAGCTATCATTTGTTCCTATCGATTTTTCTACTGATCCCCATCATCGGATCAGATGCCTTTTTGGTCCCAAAGGAAACCTTCGAACAATGCGGAATGGATGAGACCCTTGGAGTGATTATGTGTATTGCGGTAGGTTTGAGCTCAATTATCTCAGTTTCTATAACAGCTAGTGAAAACCTGTCAACTGATAAAATATTTACTTTAATATGATGAACAATTTATCAGTAGGCAGATTTTTGATATCTGACAGAGGAGTCGAGATAATTAAGCTCAAAGTTTGAAAACGAAATTTTGATCCTAAAGCGATGTTTTCAGCCAGTCACAACTCTTTTCCAAAACCAACTCAACCTTCAAAACATCACAAGAGCCCGTGGAATCAGAATTGCTAATGAGTGCAGAAATGCTACTGTAAGTTGATACGACAGCTTGAATAACCTGAAAACCTGTAATAGAAGGGCCCCCTTGCTTTGGGGTTGAGTCCGCCTTTTTTTTTGGATCGATTTATGTCGGTTTTTGTAAAAGATAGAAAAAAGTTGTCAACTGATAAGTTGTTATCATAATATCAGAAACATTTTATCAGTAGGCATCTTTTTAAAATCTTCTAAAGAAACCGAGATATATTGCGTTAAAGCTAAGAGGTCGGCGGCGTAGCTCAACCGGTAAGGGCTTTTTGACTTTGAGCCAATTTATCTCGCTCCTTGTCAAAGATAAATGAAAGTTGTCAACTGATAAATTGTTACTATCAGAAATGTTTTGTCAGTGGACAAATTCTTGATATCTCTCATAGCAACCGAGATAATTGAGCTCAAACTTGAAGGCTTTTCTACTATAGGTACTCACTTGTAGGCGCCCTTCTATTCCAGGTTCTACAGTATCTTTCCAGACCTGCCTCCGCGCATTCCCTTGCGTGACCAAAGTCCAAATGGACAAGGTCTTCAACTTGCTGTGTGACGCCATCTCTTATTTCTCCACTGACTTTGCCTCTTGCCAGAAGAAACTAGTCGCCCAGATGCCGCCATGCATGCGAGAAGCTGAGAAAAGTGTGATGAAAAGTGGTGAAAAGGTATTCTAGAACAATAAAATATTGCGAAATTAGTTGTTCTGTTTTTGCTACAGGTTGATCATCCATGTGACCTGATTTCCAAGCATAAACCTTGTTTTGAAATTGAGATCACCAACATTTGCGGAGAACAGTACTGGACCCCAATTGACACTATGCTAGGGAAATTCCAGAAGTATCTACAGTCAAGTGTCCAGTGGAGCCGCCTGAAGAAAAGTTTTGATGCATAAATATTTGAATAAAGCTTTTAAAATTCATTTTGCCATTGTTAAACTTTTATAAAGTTTTCCATAAATTATCAACTCTTCCAAAAAACAAACACTGCCTAAATCAACTATAAATAATTCATACCTTTCCCAACAAGTATAAAATGACCTTCTGACCCAACAAACTTTATTACTTCTACAGTTAGGCAAAATGAAACTAATTTCCATAATTTCATTCTGCCTATTGGCTGCCTATGCCTATTCGCAATGTTGCTCTGGACAACCTTTGGGAGGTAAGCTTGAGCTCAATTATCTCGAATCCTGTAAAAGATATCAAAAACCTGTTAACTGATAAAATGTAACTGATATTATGATAAACAATTTATCTGTTGACAACTTTTTAATATTTTTGACAGAACGCGAGATAATTGAGCTCAAAATTGACAGCGATTTAAAACCCCAAAAAAAATCTTTCCAGCCTGCATCAACCAAATCTGCCCAAATGGCACCATGTGCAACAACAACTGGTGCTGTCCAGGATGCTATGACACTTGCTCCAACTGTTATTTGTACACGGCATACTGTAACAATCCGTACTACTCGTGCAGTATGAGCTGCTGCAAGGCTACCTGTGGACAGTGTCATCCGTAACTTGGATTTGAAAGTCTTCGGTTTTTGAGAACTTGTGAATAGTGTTGAAATAAAATAGTCGAGCATTATCAACAAAGTTTCTTTATTGTAACACACATACAGAATGAGAGAGAGAGAGAGAGAGAGAGCAGGTGAGAAACATGGAGAAGTCAATCTTCATCGTCGCTATGGGAAAGATTCAATTTCCTGGTTTTGAAAAATGCCAATTATAAAGCAATGAACAAAAAAATAGTGATTCTGGCAAACTAACAAAAATCAAGTGTGAAATGAATCTGAAGACAGACCGTGCACTAATGGAAACCCATCCTATTTGAGCTCACAATTATCTCGGTTCTTGTAAGAGCTATCAAACATTTGTCAACTAATAAATTATTTATCATAATTTGACCTATATTTTCTCAGTAGACAGCGTCTTCTTATCTTTTACAGGAACCGAGATAACTGAGCTTAATGTACACGGATACGGTACATATGCGGTTAGTGAACGAACAAACGAATGTAAACAAGCAAACTAGAGGTTAAATTAAAAGACCATAAGGATCTGGAAACTTAATTATGAGACAATAGCAATATCTAAAACCGTACTTTCAACAATTCATAAGCTGGAACATAGTAGACTCGACTGATATTCCATTGCCCATCCTCTACCTATAACACATCCAACACATGCATATCCCCATCTCTCAACTCCAATTCTGTATGATCGCATGTCGACCAAAAATAGCAATCTCCAATCTTAATAGTCATCAAAAGTCCCTTGATCTCAGTCGGAAACATTATAACCATTCTGTGATGTTCGAACTGAAAGAATGGAGCTTCCAAGTAGAAGAACTCCTCAGCGATGGTCCCATTGAAGTTGGTAGCGTTCAGAAATTCTTCGACACCTTGGAATCGTTCAATGTCTAGAACCCATTTGTCAAGGAGGATCTTTGGAATATCGGTGAACAGAGTTTTGAGGAGTTTGGCGATTTTGAGCTCATGAAGTGCGGATCCATTTTGCATTAGACTCTTTTCCATGGTGGCGTATTCCATGAGATTCCTTTTATGCTCCAGGAAAACATTCATGTCAAATTTGAAGTTGGCTGGCTTAGATGGCCAGGCGGTGGTAAAGGCAATGTAGTCTCTTTGGTAGGCAAGATAATCCTGAAACAGTGTTAAGGATAAATTTTCTAAAATGCCCTTACCATAAGTGTAGTATGGTAGGCCGCAAAGATAAGACCAGTGACCACGGCCGCGTAGACAATCAACTCCATTCTTCCGACTGGGAACGGCATGACGACGTCACGACGACATCGATGAGGGGTAATGCGAGCCGGTCGAAACATTGATTTGATTAACGAATATCGGGACATTTTGATAGTGAATATGGGGAAGACTTTTTAGAAGGAAATGAAGAAAGTGTAGTTATGGAACAAAAAAAAACTAATTTAGATGAGTGGATAAAAAGAGAGGGGGGGGGGGGACAAAGCATTTGTTCCAAAAATCGGTGCTGCTCGCCATACATGGCAAATTCAATTAGGTTAAACAAGCTAATGGGTTCGTTGGTACAGAGTTCCGAGATGTTGTTCTTCTTGAATTATTAGAATTGTGAAGAAATCATTTTTTGTATGTCAGAATTCTATACGAGCTCAAAGGTTCTGAAATTCGAAGGTGGGCGGAGCGACAATTTCAAGATATTGAAAAAGGGGGTGTGGTTTAAATCCCACTGACTGCAAATTCGACATTTCCTTAATTCGACAATTTCAGGTTTTCGAAAAGAGGGGCGTGGCTTAGATCCCACTTAAAGCCGACTGAACAAATTCGACATTTTACTAATTCCACAATTGCAGGATTTCGAAAAAAAAGGGCGTGGCCTAAATCCCATTTAAGATCAACTGTACAAATTCGACATTTCCTCAATTCCATAATTCTAGAATTTTGAAAAAAGGGCGTGGCCTAAATCCCATTTAAGATCGACAGTACGAATTAGACATTTCCTTAATTCAACAATTCTAGAATTTCGAAAAAAGGGCGTGGCCTAAATCCCATTTAAGACCAACTAAACATATTCGAAGTTTCGTTAGTTCCACTATCCCGGGATTTTGCAAAAAGGGGCGTGGCTTATATTCTATTTAAGATCGACTATACATATTCGAAATTTCCTTAATTCCACTATTCCAGGATTTTGCAAAAAGGGGCGTCTCTTAAATCCCCCTAAAAATCAACTTTACTAATTCGACATTTTATTAATTCAACAAAAAAGGACAAAAAATCAACAACAAAGAAAAAATGAGATAAAAAGGATTATGAGGGATTGAGATCCCGGAAAAAAGGAAAATTCAAAATTATTGAGATTTCAGGAATTTAATGGTGTGTACGAGCAATTATCATATCATCGACAGGAACGTAGAAAAGACGACCGATTGATAATTCGACGAATGTTGATTGGAACGTCTCCACAATTTGCAAGTCGTTTCCAACGAAGGACAATTCGGTCGTGTGGCAGGATATGTTGTTATAGGCGCATTCTCCGATCATGAAATTGCCGGGGTCGACGCCGTCCAACACGAAGTCAACTTTCTCCGGAACCATCATATTGATTGTGGTGTTAGGGCGAGCAAAATAGAAGAAGTTTGCCAATGTTCTGTTGTTTCCAGACCACTGAAGAAGCCCATCGACGCCTACAAAGTTTACGATATCCGGCTTGAACAAGATTGTTTGAATCGTTTTGCCCTCCTTCATCTCGAAAACTGGGGTAGTTAGTCCGATTTTGTACATCTTGTCCATCAGGGCTCTGTCATGCTGGGCAAGTAGCATAACATCTCTCTTTCTGGCTGCAAAAGCATTGTTCTCGGCTTCGGTCTGAAAATCAAAGGACTTCAAATTTCATTTTACTCAATTTTCCTCAATAAAGCCTCTCGAGGAATTGAACTTGTCTGAGCCGTATGGGCAAAGCCAGTACGGCCGCTAAATCGCCTAGCGGCCTCGATAGCTGTACGCAGAATGGTCACTGATCATTGTACGCCGTTATATCAGAATGAATACCCTAAACTCCAAAAGAATACCAGAAAATTTTTCACCGAGGGACAATCTGTCAACTGACGAAATGTTGATCATAATATCCCTAACATTTCACCAGTTGGCACATTTTTGATATCTTGCACAAGAGCCAAGAAAAATTAGCTCAAACTTGGTAGTGTCAAGGGCCTTCTATCACAGGTTTTAGGGTACTTACCTGGGACATCGTTGGGCAACCAGTTGATTCTATAGCTTTCTGAATCTCCCGATGACATTGCTGCAAACCAAAAAAAGTTATAATGATCCTAATTCTAGGTAAACTTACATAATCATTCTTCAACAACATAATTCCAGCACCTCCCAGGCAAATCATTGAGATTACGAACAGAAGGCATGTCACGAAGGCGCAATTCTCCACCGAATGATCTGGCTTCTGTTTCTTGCACGATTCAATAGTCATTTCCTGAAATTCGACAAAAAAAGTTCGCAAAAAGATGGATAGAATATAACAATACAAACCAACCAACCACTAGAAGGGTGGGTCGTATGAATGAGCGTATTCCTAATCAGGTAAATATCTGGGGACCCTATTGATAAGATAAGGGGTATGGTTACAATGGACCAAACATCGATTGATAAGATAAGACGTTTTTCAAGGACAGAGTAGGGTTTATTTGCTTGGGATTGGGTTAACTTGAATATTGCGCATGAGACTAAAGATCAGTTATGAGGGCTCCGGCAATCAGTCAACTTTGAGCTCGATTATCTCGGTTCTTAGGAGAGATATCAAAAATCTGTCAGCTGATAAAATGTTGGTGATATTATGATAAACATTATATCAATTGACAGATTTTTGATACCTCTTATAGGAACTGAGATAATTGGGCTCAAAGCGCCCGTATATGATGACCTGCTGTAAGAGAGAGCTATACGAACATTGAAAAAGATAAAAATCAACATTTTATTTCAGCATTTTAAACCCGTTTTTCAACAAAAATACAAATTTTTCAGGAATGAATCATGCCTTCAAAGTGTACAAGGGAGTGTTTCGTGAAGCCGATGGTTTCAAAGTCCTATCTGTCCATGGTGCAGGCTTCGCGGTAGCCAGGAAACAGAAGATGAAATTGCAAACGACTAGAATTCCAGCATGAACAAAGAATACAAGACGCCACTCAGCAATTGTTCCATTACGAAGGAGATAGGATACAAGTAGGGGACATAGAAGCATGGAGAGACACAATAGGAATTGTACATTGGCCATGACAAAGTGACTGTATTGTCGGGAAACGAGGGCGGCGCACTGGAAATTTCAATTTTTAAAAACTAAAATTTTAATTCAAAACTTCAAAGTCACCTTGGTGAATCCACCTCCATTAAACCCGAACATTGCAGTGGCCAATGTCATTAAAATCAATCCAGCCATTCCTTGTCCCTCTTTCACAAATCCCAGAGCCACTAGGAACACGGCACTTGCTCCCAGAGCAATACTATTGTAGATCCTTAGCTTCGTTGTCTCGGATATTCCAGTGATTCTGTCACTGGAGTGCCCCGCGAACATCTTCATCAAAAACTGGAACAAAACCGGAACGGCGGCGGCGAATCCGGTTTTCTCGACTGAATACCCTCCAATGTCATGAAGGTAAACGGGGGAATAGATGTGAATGAGTTGAACAGCGATGAGGTCACCTAGGGCACCAATCCAGACGCCCCATATTGAAGGAGTGGTTAGAATCTCCAGGTAGGGTGTTGGTTCTTGTTCGTGGACTTGAGCAGTGGCGGCGTTAGACTTCCCTTTTTGAATTTCAACGAGCTCCATGGTTCTTACGAATCTATTGTCCTCTGAAACACGAAATTATTAGCTGGAGACCATTTTCCGGCGTAACTCACTCGGAGAATCTGTAAAAACAGCAAACCACATTAAAAAGACTATAATTGATATGAACGCATGCAGAAAGTAGACAGATTTCCAGCCAAACGGAGACACACACAATTCTCCAGCCACCGGCATCGAGAATACAGAAGATAGCTGTCCGAATGTTGTAAGAGCGGCTATGAATAGCCCCTGCTGGGTCATGGATGCCCAAGAAGAGGTGATAGCTCCGACTGCTGGCATGCAGGCTGCATAGGCAATACCCTGAAGCTGATAATAGGGTTACTGTAGTTCAAGATAGCTACCTGCAAGAATCTCAGCAACAAAAACAGGTTGAAATCTATCGGCGCCATGATCGGAACCAGAAACGTGGTCACTGACGTCAGCATACCAGCAGCAAAGAACACTTTGCGAATACCATAGGTGGATATTCCGATGATAACTGGAAACAGGCCAAACATGGCACCAACTGCTACCACACTGAACAGCCAGGTTTTTTCCTTCCTGTTGTATCCAATATAATGGGTTTTGTTTTCTGAAAGTTCTGAGGATTCCCCAGTTCCCGGCATGCAGAGTACTGTGAAGTTGAAGCAGATGACATTGGACATCATGAAGGAGAGACATGTCATTGTGAGGATTAGCACAATGTAGCGGACACCTCCGGGTTTTTCTGGAATTTTCTAGATATTTTGCCTAGAGAACCCCCGAGGAACTCATGATGGAAAGTTCAGGGGTACAACGCCAGGATGTTTCTTAATAAGAATCCTCCCTAGTGAGTATTCTTCTTGAAGAAAAACAATTTTACTAAGGATTTTTCTCAATAAGAATATTTCTTAGTGAGAATCTTTCTTAGTCAGAATCTTTCTTAGTGAGAATATTTCTTGGTGATAATGTTTCTTAGTGAGAATCTTTATTAATAAGAATTTTACTTAATGAGATTTTTTCTTGGTGAGAATCTTTCTTAGTGAGAATTTCTTTCTTAGGATATTCCTTTATCTTCACAAATAAAACCAACCTCCTTTCTCTTTCCCAATTGGAATCACTTTTGCATTCACCGGAATCTGACTCAACTGCTCTCTAGTGATCTCAACTGGTATTTTGCTGCTAACACTGCTGACTTCATTTTTATTTTCTGGTGCAACTTTCATATTACCTCCTGAAAATATGAATTTTCGAAAAAATAGTAAAAAAGCAAATTCAGGGAAACCCCTTCACAGTATAGTGACGCCTGGTTAAAGTATAGGAAAAACGGGCGGAGAAAAAAGAGACAGAGAGTATAATTGTTCAGCGAATCTATAGAAGTTGTGTATGATGCAGTGGGGGAAACATCAAAATAACAAAATAACGAGATTATGATGAACACCTATAGGAACGGTAATCTGAAAATCCAGTTGTTTTTGGTTTGGCAACTTTTAATGAGGAGTTTCCAGAAGGTTTTTTTAAAGGTTTGGCCGAAAAATGAATCATAAAAGATCATTAACCAAAAAAACACGAAAAAGCAACTAAATATAAATCAAATAAAATAGAACATCATTAATGGATTGACCTCTTTTCTATGTACGTGATTCTTTTCAATGAACAGATATAAATCTTGTTATCATTCGAATTACGATGATATCAATTATCCAAGGGACACATACAACCATACAATCTTTAGAAAACAGAAAATATCTGATATTTTCTTCCGATTGATAATGATGACGGTACCGATTCAATGGTAACCGGTTATTTATCGAAAAATAATATTTTTGTTGGAATTCTGTATTTTTCTTTTCTTCCTGGCAGGTGATTATCACGTGAATTAGTATACCAATTCCTGGTTTCCCATTGTCCGGATGTCCAGAATTAGCATGAGAAATTATTCAAAAGTCCGCCGAAACCGGGCCACCCCAGGATACCGGACACGCCTTGGAATATAGCCGAAGCTTTGGAAATTAACATAACGGTATAAATACTGACCACAACTTAGAAATTCAAAGCATGATTTCTTCAGAACTATTTGCAATTGGCACTTCTCTTTTGATATTCTTGTCCGCTGGACTTTTTGTCCTGCAGACCAAACATGACCTGGATCAGGTTTGGAGCGAGTTCGATGAGCAGGTCCAGGAAGTTACGGTAAGACATATTTCTATTACATCAAGACCTGGATAAGCCTCAGGTCCTTCGAGATGCCACGTGGAATGATTTGAAGACGTTAGCCAATGCCAAGAGCATTCCCATGGACCGATCGAAAAGACAAAGCTATTATGAGAAAGTAGCAGATTCATATGCTCTTCCACCATCTCTAGGAGTGGAGGCACATGCTCCTTCGATTTCTCCAGAGTGCAGTGAGTTCATTTTGCAATATATTCCCTTTAATTTGTTCAAAAATTCAGACTGCAACTTGGAAAACAACAACTGTCCAGCCGGTCCACCAGGTCCAAAGGGATCACCTGGATCCGATGGTGCACCCGGAGAATCTGGACCACCAGGAAAAATGGGCATCAACTCTGGAGACGTTCAAACCATGTACCAAGATCCAGGATGCTCATACTGCCCTGCTGGCGAGATGGGACCACCAGGAGCGCCAGGAAAAATCGGACCACGAGGGCAACGTGGACAGAATGGACAAGCCGGAACCCCAGGAAGCAATGGAGCGCCAGGACACAATGGGGAACTGGGACCATGTGGACCACCAGGACCACCAGGACCAGTTGGAACACTTGGAAGACGTGGAATGGATACGGTAAGAGAGAAAGGGGTCAGAGGACCGAAAGGAGTGCCAGGACCAGTGGGAGCTGTTGGAATGGAAGGAGAGAAGGGAAATCGTGGAGGACTTGGAGTGGATGGGCCAGTGGGTCCGACTGGAATTCAAGGATCACCTGGAAGAGTTGGGCCAACTGGAGTGCCTGGAGAGCTCGGAGTCACTGGACCCAATGGACAGGACGCCTTGGTAAGATACCGTAAAACCTCTAATAGAACGACACCCGGATCGTTACTTTATCAGTTGGCACCTTTTTGATATTTCTCATTGGAGACAAGATATTCAGGCTCACACTTGACAGTGTTGGAGCCTTTCTATGTGTTACAAGTTTTACGGTATTTTAGCAACGCTACGGTAAAACCCGTAAATCTGTAATAGGAGAGGAGCCCCCAACTATGACGCGATTTATCATGGCTCTTTTATCAAGTATCAAAAAGTAGTTTACTAACAAAATATAATGCATATCATGAAAAACATTTGTTC